AACGCTACTAGGGGCTCCTGGCATCGCTACTAGGAGCAAGGACGCTACTATGTTGTGAAAAGTGACAGCGACGTGTCGGGTTGCACATCAACTGATATTGAAAAGGTTTTTGATGTTCAGTGGTTGGTCGCGGTCTGTCGGTTGTTCAGGCCTTGGAATGGCTTTATTTGGACCAGAACCGGCTTGCTGGAACTATTCCACCTGAGCTGGGGATGCTCCAGAGCCTGAAGAGCCTAGACCTTACGGAAAACAATTTGGAGGGCCATCTGCCAGAAGAACTTGGGCAGTTGGAGAACCTAACCTGGCTTTCTTTGAGCTTGAACCGCTTCAGTGGCAAAATCCCAGAAAGTTTTGGAAATTTGTGGAACTTGGAAGTTTTGGATCTGAGACGAAACGCTTTCAGTGGAGAAGTCCGAAAGTCATTGGGGCGGCTCAGCCAGTTAGAGCGGTTGCGCTTGAATCACAACCATTTGGAAGGAAGAATCCCACAAGAGTTGGGTCAGCTGAAAAACTTGAAGGAACTTCTCCTACAGCAAAACTGCTTCAATGGAGAGCTTCCTGCCGAGTTGGGGAACCTCCAAGCTCTACAAACGCTCATGATCTCAGAAAATCAACTTCAAGGACAGATTCCAAAGGAGCTCGGTCAAATGGCTGTGCTCAAATACCTGATTCTCAGTCAAAATCAACTCAGTGGACACATCCCGCGAGAGCTGGGGCATTTGAGCAAACTGAAGAGGCTCAACCTCTACGGCAACAACCTGACTGGTAAGATTCCACCCGAGCTTGGTCACCCTCCAGAATTCTATTGGTTATTCTTGGACCGCAATAATTTACAAGGAGAGATACCGCCTGAGCTGGGCCGATTGAAATCTTTGCAAAGGTTGTCACTGGGCAAAAATCAGCTGAGCGGCCAGATTCCTACCAGCCTCAGCCACCTGAAGCAGCTGAAATGGCTAAACCTGTGCCAGAATCAACTCACAGGAACCATTCCTGAAGAACTAGGGAACATGAGAAACCTACGCTGGCTCCACTTGGACGGAAACCACCTAAGTGGTTCTATTCCGAAAGCACTGGAAGATTTAGTGTGGCTGACAGCTTTGGATCTCAGCCACAACCGCTTCACCAGGAGCCCTGAAAATAAGGATTGTTGCTCGAAGTTTTTTTTGCAGGGCTCATTTTTTTGCTAGCAGCGTGTCAGTTTGCAATGCTTTTCTGTTTAGCCTAAGGTCGTGGGATCGGTTGCTTATCGCGATGGTCTCCACCCTAAGATCGAGGGCCTCCAACCTAGTACGGTGGCTCCACCCTAGTAGCGATGGCCTCCACCCTAGTAGCGATGGCCTCCAACCTTGTAGCGATGGCCTCCAACTTTGTAGGGATGGCCTCCACCCTAGTAGCGATGGCCTCCAAACTAGTAGCGATGGCCTCCACCCTAGTAGCGATGGCCTCCACCTTAGTAGCGATGGCCTCCACCTTAGTAGCGATGGCCTCCACCCTAGTAGGGATGGCCTCCAAACTAGTAGCGATGGCCTCCACCCTAGTAGCGATGGCCTCCACCTTAGTAGCGATGGCCTCCACCTTAGTAGCGATGGGATGGCCTCCAAACTAGTAGCGATGGCCTCCTCCAAACTAGTAGCGATGGCCTCCACCCTAGTAGCGATGGCCTCC